GTTTGATTGGTTAGAAAAATGTAAGTTGTTGCTGTGTGTATATCTGTTAAAAGTTTTATTTAATATTGCCTTAAGCATTTTATACATTATCATATCTTGTCCTTCTGCTGGGTTAAGGTTTTTGTTTTAAGTACATGTGTAAGTTCTTCATATGTTAAAGCTAGACTTCATTTTGTTTGTTGATTGTAATAGGGTATTGTGATGGTATAATATGGTGTTTTACCATAATCAAGATTTTTTATGTTACATTTAATATTATTTGGCCTCCTCCCAGACCCTTAACAAAACTCCAAGCAAGTTTTATTTTTTCCTCAAAGCTATCTTTTTTGACCTTTTTGACTATTTCCAGTCTCTTAGTGCTTTGAGGTGCTTATTTTGGATTATCAACATGAGTTTTGTTGTTGTTGTAGCGGTTCACTAGCCCCGCTTAGGCACAGGTTTGGTCAGTCTAAGTCGCCGAGGTCATCTAATGGTAGGCCCAGGAAACGACCTGTTTCGACGGGGTTGGACCAAAGGTAGAGGGGGGTTAGATGAGTTGGTTTGAGAGGGCATGTGAAGAGGCGGTTAGTGTCGTGCGGGCACTCTCCACATCCAGACCATACGTTGGGTATGCTGGGGTCTAGTCTGGATAGGTAGGAGTTTAACCTGCTACAATATCCAGACCTGAGTTGTGTCACGGTCACGCGGGTCTCTCGAGGCAGCTCGATCTCGTTGTCTGCTATGGGTGGTGGTGTTTCTCCGAGTACGCCATTCACTGGAAGGGAGTCCTCGAAGGGGTTGACTGACTCCTGGTGAATGGCGTTCAGCGCTTGTCGGTACGCCGTCCTGTCCAGCGGTTGTTGTGTGTGTTGCTGGATTGTGCCCTTTAAATCTAGTACTCCCTTTCTGATGTGGCTAGGTGGAGATTCAGCCTCTATTAGGTGCCTACTTGAGTGCTCCCTGCGGTAGCATCCCAATAGGAACTGCTTGCACAGCAAAGCATTATGCTCCTTAACTCGTAGCATAGATGCTTCCCTGTGCAGGTGATGCTCCGGCGACATCAGGAGGTTTCCTGTCGCGGTCCTGAGGGCGGTGTTCTGGCAAGCCTGTGGCTTCTTCATCTGCGTCTCGTTCGTCCCCGGCGTCCAGATCGGTGCAGCATAGTTTACGACCGGCCGGCCAATTGACTTGTAAGTAACAAGCAAAGATTCTTTGTATTTACCCCAGCTGCTGCCGGTCGTATGCGGAGTGAAGGAGTGCAGGCTGTCTAGATTTACTCCCAATATTTTTGGGTTATTTACCGTCGGAATTTTTGTGTCATCGACCTTCACATCCAGCTCAAGCCTGTATTCCTTCGTCCAGCTGGTGAAAAGGGTAGCCGAGGATTTTGTCGGTAGGATTCGTAATTGTCTTGCAGTGAAGACGTGGGAGAGATCAGCGAGGTAGCCATTTACTTTCGAGCAGAGGTCATCAATATCCTGGCCGGACTCCATTATCGTACAGTCATCGGCATACGAGGTTAGGGAAACTCCTTCTGGTGGTGGAGGGAGTTTCGAGATGAAAAAGTTAAACAGTAGCGGGGAGAGGACACCACCCTGCGGAACCCCCTGTTTAATTTTTCTGGGTGTCGATGTTACACCTCGGAATATTACCGGTGATTGTCGACCACTCAGGTAGCTCATGACCCACCTCTGCAACCCCGGCGGTAATGAGGATTCCTCAATGTCAGTTAGTAGCACTGAGTGATTGACTGTGTCAAAAGCTTTTGACAAGTCCAGTGCTACTAGGACAGTTCGCGCGCAGGGTCAGTTTTCGTTGAGGCCATGGACTATCTGGGTGTTTATGGCGTTAAGTATTGTTGTGGTACTGTGCACTTTTCAGAAGCCATGCTGATGCGCTGCTGGACGCAGATGGTGAGTGAAAGTCGGAAGCACCTCAAGTATCTTCGCTACTGGGGAGAGGAGAGTTATCGGCCGATAGGACTCTCCTTTGTTGGCTGGTTTCCCCGGTTTAAGTAGCGGGACCACCCTTCCCACTTTCCACACGTCGGGTATCTTCAGGGTGGTCAGAGACAAATTGAGGACCCTCGTGAAAATTTCTGTTCTTACTGGTCCAAGGTGTTTCAGCATCAGCATGCTTATTCCGTCGGGGCCGATGGATTTGGAGGCTTTCGCCTTCCCGATGACCCCCTGAACCTCCTCCGTGGAGAAATCATGCAACGCGCTGGTGTTTGGCAGTTTGCGTATACGGCGGGTCACACGTCGTTTCGCTTTGTCTACCGAGGGATGCAGTGTGAAAAGTCGGCTAAAATAGCTCGCGCATCTCTTCGGGTCCGACGAGGCGCAATCACGGAATGAAATTTCCACCCGGTCAACGCGTCTCGTCGGGTTAGATAGCGACTTGACTGTAGCCCAGAGCTGGTTGCCCCAGAGGAGAGGTTGCAGGTCCTTAGGTGCTCCTCCCACTTTTTCCGCTTATGACTGTCTACAACTCTTCGAATCTCCGCGTTTAAATCCCTGATTAGGGGATTCCCGGGATTGGAACTTCGGAGGGTGTCGCGCCTGAATGCTAATTCCGCCGCTTCTGTCGGAAAATTTCGGCGGATTTCCGCAATTCGGCCTGCCGGGATGAAGCGGGCGGCAGCGGTCACGACGACCCTGCGGAATAAGCGTTCACCAGCGGTAACGTCAGTTGAAGTGGGAAGAGCACTGAAGGCGTTCTCAGTAAATTCCGTGAATCCGGGCCAGTTAGCTTTTTTAAAGTTAACAAATGTCCGCTGGTCCGCGGAAACAAAGTCGGAAGGCCTGTCAATCGAGATTTGTATGGGCAAGTGGTCCGATGCTAACGTCAGTATAGGTCGCCAGACTATACTGTTTGTCAGACCATCACTCGCAATTGTTATGTCTGGCGAGCTTTGGCAATTACCCATAACTCTGGTGGGAGTGTTGTCGTTCATTGTGCAGAATGTCGAATCGTCTATCTGTTCTGCCAGCTCCATTTCTCTACGGTCATTTGACAGGCTAGACGGTGTTGTGCAGGATGAACGCTAAGCCCCCACCATGGTCTCGCTCGCGATCCTTGCGGATTATGTTGTATCCGGCCCTGTTCAGAAGATCTGATCGGGCAGTCAACTTGTCGACTATCTCGTCAATCTTTCCCTGGAGTCCGTTGCAGTTAAATTGTAGGAGTCGGGTCTGTCTCGGGGGAACGTTCGTGATTCGGAGGGTGAGGGAGTGATGCGTGGATGGTGTGTGTTGCTGCTGTACTACCCGCGAGAGCTGGTTCCGCACGTTGGTGTTAGTTGGCATAGGGTTTGTCGAAACATGCGGGGGCAGATTCCTACAGCACGGGGCAACATGCGCATTGCTCTACTCACGGGTGGTGCGCAGGCCAGAGCACGTCCGGAAGTGACACCAGCCAGAGCAAAGGTTGCATCTGACTTAGGTCACGTTCCGACGCACTATGGTCTGACACACGGAACAGACAGTGTGGGGTAATAGGAGCTGCTTGGTAGCCCTCGCACGGGAGGAGGATAAGGAGCTGGTTGTGGGTGGGGATAGGGGTGGAGGTTGGAGGGAATCATGCTGCGGGGAGCTCCGTTCGACCGTGGAGGTTTTCTGATTACCCAGAGTGGGTATATGTGCTGAAGGCACTGCCGTGGAGGCTGAGGGGGCGGTTGGACGCTGGCAGCATGGGGCCACATAACTTGTGGTCCATTCCCTGTGGGTCTTAAGGCCAGAGCAGGTCTTAAGATGACTCCAACCATTGCACTGGGTGCATCTAACCGAGGTGGATGAGTGGTGGAGTCTTCTTTGACACACGCAGCAGAAGTAATCCGTCGGTCCAGGGTTGGTTTCTACACCAGCCCTGATCAGAAGGATTTGGAGCAACCCAGCTGCAAGGTGTTGCTCCGTTGACATACTTAGACTAATGTTACCTGTAGACCTAAACGGGGTTAGGTCGCCGAAATGGTGGAAGCCCTTGGCCGGATAAAATCCGGGTCAACTCCGGTGCGTAGAACCGGCTTTCGTGAGAGTCGTAATATATAATATATATAGTAATATTTTATATGTAATCGGTGCTCTGTGACCGCCAAAACGATTCCGGCCTTCGTCTGGAAAGCTTTGAGATGTGAAAAGACGACCCATTTTATCTGACACGCACATCCATGAATAGGGAAATATAACTATATATGCCATTGGCGCTCTGTAACCGCTGAAGCGATTTTAGACCGAACTTCTCCTCCCATTTGTGGTTTGTTGAGGGACCTACAGTTTATTCTTGGTCGCCTCCGAACGGCTTATGTCTATATCAAGAGAAATACACTCGGAGTGGTTGACATTCCCTACCGAGAGGCGACCGCAGTTAAAAAACTAACTTACTTTTTTATTTAGATTAATTTTCTATAACTTTTTGGATATCAGTACGACACCAAAAGGAAGGAAAAATAACTAAAACCCTGTAATATGCACGTACGCAAAGTTAACCACACGGCTACTGCGGCAGCCTTTGACTGAGCTCTTCTAATTTATAAAATCATATATGTACATTTTCTATAGATAGATGTTTTAAGTTGGTTGAGTAAGGCGTGTTCCAGTTGTACAACCCATCTATAAATTTGCCTTGAAACAATACTTTGCAAACTCTGACATTTTGGAACGCTTTTTCGTGCAAACAAGCTGCTTTTCTCTGAAATGGCTAAAATATGAAACAGAACATAAAAAAGTTATAAAATAATTGAAAAAAATTATTAGCGCAAAAAACTGGCCTTTCGACTTCGGCCATTTTTGTTGAGAACTTATGTAAAAACACAGCATCACAAATGGTTGCTTTGCAACTGATATTTTGGAACTAACGCGTACTATCACTATCACGTGCACAATTTTATGCCCATATGTTCTATAATTATGTTTGTGTGTTGAAATTTTCACATATTATATATACAATATCTTATTTTATAAAACTGAAGTTTTATCAACTAAAACAAAGTTTTATTCATACTTCTTTTCTATTTAACACACCTTTTCAAAAGTAGCAGCAAATCCCTCTCGGTCGCATGTAAAGGGCATTTGATGTACAAGTGCATATTTCTCAGTCATATTATTTACCATGTCGAAGAGAGTATCATTCCTCACTATAAAGAAAAAAATATTAAATGATTTATATCCGTCTCTTTCAATTACTAAATATTTATTACTTTTAATACCACTGTCAGATATCATGATTAAATCGTATTTAGCAGCCGCATAACCAGGTTGCATATTATTGATTTTGGGATTAACACCAACCTTGCATCCCCCCATATACAATGAGGCGTCTACTTGTGGGTATTTTGACATTAAGCTTTGTACCGTTTCAATAGCTGGGTCCACGGTATCTTCTATGCAAAACAATAATTCAAACTGCAAAGGACAATGCATTTTAGCAAATAAGGCTAAAAAAAAAAACAAGTACAAATTTAAGCATTACCATTGGGTAATCCATTGTAAAGAATGATTCAAGATTGTGTTCCAAATGCGGATCGATGCCCATTAGTGGTTTCAATATGGAAACAGCTGGCAGAGGAGTTTCTTTAGGGTCCTTGCATGAATTCTTGTGAAGCTTAAATTTTCTACAAGAAAAATATGATAGACAACTTAAAAAATAAGAATATTTATATGCGCATTAAATCAAGTTTTGTTTCTTTTTCTTTGGTATTAAAAATTTCCATTCAGTAAATTTTGTAGTACTTGGTACTGAGTTTACTGTTACCCTGAAAGTTTTGTTTCCCCGCGAAATAGGAATTAACAAACAATCTGCTGTTTGATTTTGTGTTGTTGATTTGACAAACAATAAAAACCAAAATGTATAAACATATTTTACATCATCCATATCGTTTTATTTGAGACTTCTCTCAGCAAAATATTTATTTTCCCACGGGTTGTATAAGGAATGCCTTCGAAGCAATTGTCTACCTGCTATGAGCCAAACGGTTTGTTTCGCGATCACTGCACTATATTTCAAATTAGATTGTCAACGAAAAGGCCGGGAAAGTTTGCTTTCCAACAATAAATTAAATACAAATATAAACAGTGATCTAGCTATCTAAGAAATAGTATAAGTTTTATTTAAAAATTAAAAAAAAAATTGCGTCTTGTCGACGATTTTTGAATGCAAAATAAATACCACTATAATCGCGAGAAAACTTGATGTAATATGGGATAAATTTGACATTATAGTATTGACATTGGTTGAGTGTAAATCAAAATGAGTCGTCAAATAAGTATTGAAGTGCGCGAACTAATCATAAAACCTTATAAAGATGGCAAAAGTCAGCGTAAAATCGCGGAAATGGTGAAATTGAGCCAACTGTTAAGAATATTATGTTCATGAAGGTCGTGTGGTCAATGAAACTAAAACGGCTCATAATAAAATATTAACTGAAAGTGATCCCCGATGGATTGTACGAAAAATACGCGAAAACCCCAATTTAAGTGCATTAGGCAAGGAAGTGGTGAAATATCTTGGAAAAAGCTATAACCAAGAAGCCTTAAGAAGAATTCTCAATGGCCACAAAGAGATAAAGATGAAAGTGTCCAGGACACCGTAATTTTTGCACACGAAAGTAAATTCAAGCTGTTTAGATCAGATGGAAAGAGTCATGTATGGAGAAAACCAAATGCTCAACTCTCCGGAGTTGACCCGGATTTTATATGGCCAAGGGCTTTCATCCTTTCGGCGACCTAACCCCGTTTAGGTCAACAAGTAACATTAGATTAAGTTCATCAAGGGAGCACCACCTTGCAGCTGTGTTGCTCCAAATCCTTCTTATCAGGGCTATCGTCGAATCCAACCCTGGTCCGACGGATAAGTTTTGCTGCGTGTGCCAAAAAAGACTCCACCACAACCGGTGCAATGGTTGGAGTCATCTTAAGACCTGCTCAGGCCTCAAGACCCACAGGGCTTGGACCACAAGTTATGTGGCTCTATGCTGCCAGCGCCACCAGCCTTAATGGCAGTGCTTTCAGCACCTTTACCCACTTTGGGTAACCAACAGACCACTACGGTCTCACGGAGCTCCCCGCAGCATATTTCTTACCAATAACAATACCCGACTCTTACAATTTTTTGCAACGTACACCAAAGGAAGACCGACGAGATAGTCGACTATATGAGCCGGGAGCACCTGTGAATTGCTGCGATCCAGGAAACGAGGTTGACCGCCCAATCAGATCTTCTGATGCAACATAATCCGCAAAGATCGCGAGCGAGACCATGGTGGGCGCTTAGCGTTCCTACTACACAGCACCGTGCAGTATAGACTTATCGGCGGCGACATCGACCGCAGGGACACTACCCCAGAATCTCAAGGCATAGCTATCCGGTCAGGCAATGTCGAGCTCGAAATATTCAATATATTCATTCCTCCTGTTACAAGTTGCCCAGTAGGATACAACCGATACCGATGCGCTACTCAAGGGTGAAAACCATTTGGTTTTGGGAAACTAACGCGCATCACGATGTTTGGCATTCTAGCCTGTCAAATGACCATAAAGGAATGGAGCTGGCACAACAGATACACGATTCGACATTTTGCACAATGAACGTTAACACTCCACCAGAGTTATGGGTAATTGCCAAAGCTCCCCAGACATAAAAATTGCGAGTGATGGTCTGACCTATACTAGCAAACTAGGCCTGCCGACCTATACTAGCAAAAGCATCGGACCAATTACCCACACAGATGTCGTTTGATCGATCTCTCGACATTGTTTCTGCGGATCACCGGACATTTGTTAACTATAAAAAGGCTAATTGGTCCGGCTTCATGGAATTCACCAAGAAAGCCTTCAGTACTCTCCCCACTCCAGCAGACGACAAATCTGGAAAACGTTCATTCCGCAAGATTTTCGTGAATGCTGCCGCCCGCTTCATCGGGCGCGACACCCTTCGAAACTCCGATCCCGGGAATCCCCTAATCAAAGATATAAGCGCGGAGTTTCGCAGAGTAGTCAACAACCACAAGCGAAAAAAGTGGGAGGAACACTTATTAAGAACCTGGAAGCTCTCCTCTGGGGCAACCAACTCTGGGCTATAGTCAAGTCGCCGTCTAACCCGATGAAACGCCGACCATTTACACTGCATTCTTCGGTAGACTAAATGAAGCGATGTGTAACCCGCCGTATGCGCAAACTGATAAACACCAGCGCGGCGCTCGATTTCTCCAGGGAGGAGGTTCAAGGCGTCATCGGGAAGGCGAAAGCATTCAAGTCCATCAGCTGTGACGGACTAATCATGCTGATGCTAAAACTTCTTGGACTATCGGGAGCAGAATTTCGCACGAGGGTCCTCAATTTGTTTTTGACCAACCTAATTATACCTGATGTGTGGAAAATGGGCAGAGCGGTCCCGCCAGTCTAACCGGGGAAACCAGGCAACAAAGGAGAGTCTTTTCAGCCGATAACTCTCCTCTCCCCAGTAGCGAGGACACTTGCGCCCTTACTTCTCCCGACGTTCACTCACCATCTGATTCCAGCAGCACATCAACATTGCTTTCGAAAAGTGCACAGCGCTCAGATGGTCAATGGCCTTAACCAAGACCGGACCTGCGCGCGAGCTGTCCTGGTAGACGTGGATCTGTCAAAAGCTTCTGACACAGTCAATCACTCAGTGCTACTAACGTGCATTGAGGAATCCTCATTGCCGCCTGGGCTGCAGATGTAGGTCATAGGCTACCTGAGTGGTCGTTATTCGTCGGTATTATTCCGAGGTGGAACATCGACACCCAGAAAAATTAAATAGGGGGTTTTGCAGGGTGGTGTCCTCTACCCGCTACTGTTTAATTTTTATATTTCGAAACACCCTCTTCACCAGAAGAAGTGTCCTTAACCTCGTATGCCGTTGGCTTCACGATAATGGCGTCTGGCCAGGATATTGATGACCTCTGCTCGAAAGAAAACTTCGCTGGCAAATTACAAAGCAATTGGCCGGCTGCACTGAGCTGGGCGCCTCGGACGAACGAGACGTAGACGAAGAAGCTAAAAGCTAACGATCATAATGCTTTGCTTAGCAAGCAGGATGTTACCGTAGCGAGTACCCCAATAGCACTCAGTAGAAGCTGAAACTCCACCTAGGCACATCAGAAAGGGAGTATTCGACTTAAAAAACACCATCCAACAGGACGGCGAACAGACAAACACTGATCGCCGTTCACCAGGAGTCAGTCAACACCTTCGTAGGCTACCATCTCGTGAATGGCCTGCTCGGAGTAAAACCACCACCCATTGCAGACAACGAGCTCGAGCTGCCTCGAGAAACCCGCGTGAGCTTAGCACAACTTAAGTCTTGATACTGTAGCAGGTTAAACTCTTACTTATCTAGACTCGACCCTAGCATAACCAACGTATGCCCTGCATGTGGAGAGTCTTCGCGCGTCACTAAACACCTCTTCACATGCTTCCTTAAGCCGACTCATCTAACCTCCTCTCCCTCTAGTCCAGTTCCATTGAAACAGCTCGTTTACTGGACCTCGCACTAGATGGCCTCGGCGACTTTGATTAAACAAACCCGTACCTAAGCTTGGTTAGCGAACCGGTACAACAACAACAACAACATAAGAGGCAAGTAAGAGGGAGTTTTGCACTCTTTTATGTGTTTAAATATCTTTGAAATTGTTTTTTTTTTTCATACGTATGTAAGCTGATAAGTAAACATATGACATTAACAAACATACATTCGACAAACACATTGAAAGTGACCGTTTGTGTCACACGATGAGCAAGTCGTTTCTCTATGCGAACACTAGGAGCGGGCATGTGAGCACCCAGATCCATGCCATGGATTTGTTTGTATGTCGGAATCTGCACGCGTATTCGAACGATTGTAGTGGTGGTTGTTGTTGGACGCTGCTTGATGAACCTGTTCGGAGCGTCGCATTTCAGATGCGTGTTTTTTCGCTACTTCAGCAGGAGTAGTTGGATCGAGCACCTTCCGGAGCTTTTGATCCGGTTTTGCTGCAATGCATCATCTCGAAAGCCACATACCAAGCGATTTCTTAGCCAGCAACAGCATATTTTTGCAAGGCTACAACGTACTCGAAAAATTCCTCGTTGGGTTTTGGTTCCGTTTGTGAGATTTGTAATAAGCCGCGATTCCCGAGGGTCGAAGAGAAAAATGATTTGTTAAAATTATTTTTATTTCCTATATGCTCAGTTGACTACCTGAAGGGCGAGGTTAATGATGACGCTCTGGCTAAGGTAAGAAATACCACCTTTTTTCGACCGAAGCTCAAATTTCGCATAATACTAGCCAATTTTCTGGTTGTTCCAACTTGAACGGTTCCGGATGGTTCCGAATTTCCGACATTATGTATGTTTTCTAAAACTGCAGGTATTAATTGTTCTGTTAAGGTTTCCTGTTTTTCATAGTACCGTTGCTTTATCCTCAGACATCGATATGTGATGAAATGAGACTGGCTTTGACTTGCCTTTCAGCGTTGACTTCTTGCAGTTCCCACGTTTTATGTTGCGCGGTACCAAAACAATTGTGGAGTAATTTGAAAACAAGTTTATTTTATTCAATAACAAAGTATGAAGAAAGGAACAAAGGCAAAAGTTAAAACGAAATGT